AATCCAGGACGCGTGTTTCGTCCTATTTGGGACTCGTCAGCTGGATGTACCTGCATCTCAGAGTTGATGTTCACTCTGGAACTCAAACCCAGTACCATTCGTTTCAAACGCCATCGCATGTTGATTACGATTAATGTCATAAGTAAAATAGTAGTTATACAAAAAAGAGATCTCTGAAGTTATTAAAATAGTTAAATGGAATTATACAAGTGTACTGAGGTATTATGCAACTATCATTTATTAATGTTCAGTTACCAAACAACATTGAGATGTATCCTGATACTTTAGTTCTCTTGGCAACACAGATTATTAAAATTTTAGTGACCCATAACCTGACTCCAATTATATCGTAGGATAACACATTCCGCCAATCCTCGTATATAGTCGTCTACTTAAATCGCGTTAAAGAATAATGGAATTAAAATAAGTCAAATACGAGAATGGATTTCGAGCACGTATATATCATACAATCATTGATTCATACAGACAATCAAAGAAACGAAGTGAAGCGAAATGACATGCAGTGGAGAAGGCATGTGCGCTAACTCACTTTAATGAAGCGTTAATGAATATTTATAGTCAGAACAAAATAAGTTACAGACACATACACTCACATAAAATTGTCAAGGTTAACAAACAAATAATTAACAAGGTCAAAATGTCACTCAAGAAGGCTGGGTAAATTGGCTTTATCTGGATGCTAGATTAAGCTATTTGGGCTTGACATAGCAACGGACATTACAAATTACAATCCAACAAATCAACTTCAGTTACCTAATAATACAGAATGGATCACATTCATCGTCATCGGTAAATCATTATCTTATTCTTTACTTGAATTCACAGGTCACAGTTATTCAATAAAGCTGAAGTTTTCATTTCTAATGAGCTAATTGTGTCAGGTTTAGCAATGCTGCTCTATAACAAGCCCTACAGCCTCGTCACATAAGGAAATTAACGCATATGTAACAGCTTTATCGATTAAATCAAGTTGTAGTAAATCAAGGCAAGCTATTGCATTTGTATTTGTAATGTATTGTTGAGTGTGGGTTTAGGAATTATATACTAACAGTAAGGACAAATGATCAACGGGACTCCTTTAAGTTTGGTTCATTTTAATTTTGTTTCTGATAGAAGATAAAATCAGATTTATTTTTTAGGACAAGTAAAACCTGTCGTTTATTTAATTTTCCTGTTTTAGATGTTTATGATTGCATCTAATAAGTCACTTGATAAAAGACTAGTCAGTCACAAATAACAATAATGTGAAGATTCAAACATTTACTAATAAAATACATGTCCGTCGAATAAGCTAATGACTATCTGGACTCAAAAGCCCAAATAATAACCCATTTAGGTTTGAAGTGTAAGGTACTCAGTTCAAGTGTGAGTGAAAATCAACAGTAGATTGCAAATATATTAACACAACCAAAACTCTTCATGCGACTGTTGGATTTCACTATTAGCTAATTACTTTAATAAATAAATGCTTGTATTATAAAAATAGCAGGATATTTAAATAAAACAGAACATCTGAAGATGGTGGTTGGAACATGGACCTAAGTTTCGGGGTATTTTAGCACTGGTCAGCAAGGCGTACTTGCAATTTTGAGGGAGCATCACTTCCCTTCCATCAATCAATCGCAAATACAACCCAGTCCTACAAGAGGTCAGTCATAGAACGGATAGCTCAGTGGTAACGTCTCTGACTGTGAAGCTGGGTAACACGGAATAGAATCCATCAAGGAGCATTAGTTCCCTCATGATTACAGGTTTACCTTTCTGACGACTGTCAAAATAGCACAAAACGTAGGTCCAGTATTTCCTGTTGATAACCACCAATCACCATCTCATTCCAACATAGTACATGTGATGTCAAGTTACCTAGACTAGTGACCATATTGCAACTTCGTCGATAGGATTCGATCTATATTAAGAAAGATCTGACACATATAACATTGAACACTACCCAATGATCAATCAGTTGTAAAAGTACACCTTCAGTAATGTCTGTTGTTTATATTTCAAATAGTCACATCTATTCTTCTATTCAATTGTTTATTTATGATTCAAATAAATAACATAGTTTTATTTTTTTCCTTTTTTTGGAGGTGCTGAGTGTTATGCCCGATAAGGAAAATCAGTGGCAAATTTTGGGATCTAATTGTAACTTGGGCATATGAGGATCGAACAATGTTTCGTGGGGGAGGATGAACCCGGAAAACTTAAGAGCCGGATATCAACTCCGGATCTTCGAAAAAGGGGAGGTGTGTTATGCCCCGATAAGAATAATCAGTAGTAAATTTTGGGATCCGTTTGTGGATCAATACTATAAGTATATTTTACCGTGAAATTGTTAATTAACTTAACTATTCTTATCGATTAAATGTTAAATATTTTTATGGCAGTCGATTGACTAAATCATTGATTAAATGTTTAAAAATACTTCCATGGTGATATCGATTATATACATATAATTGATATACATACTTTTGAATTGTGATTGTGGATCGCTGTGTGATCGCTCGTCTCTGACTGTTTGCAGAATATACCTTCCCATTCCAAGCTTGGACTTCTCCCTCTAGTTAGCGGAGCAGGGATGCATCAATTAGCTAGCTTACTGGTCTTTCGTCACTGAGTCTTTGTTCTCGTTCACAGATTAAGTGAACTCGTGACAGCATCAACCCTAGCAGTAAGATGATAAGAGTTTTCACCTGATACACTTTATTATTTCTAATTTTTTTGTAAATTTTTATTCTGATTAAAAATTTTCCTCTTTATTTTTTATTTTGTTTTAATCAAATAATGCACTTTTAAAAGATACTTTTGACTTTTCTTTTCCCTAAGAAATAAGAAATTATGAGCTTAAATTTAACTTGGAAATTACATAAATTTATTTCTTTTTTTCTTAGAAAAAAAGAAAAAAAAATTAGTTTCTGACCTAATTAATTATTTTTTTATTAATTTTTGCAAATGTTTCAAAAAATTGTTATCCTAATTGGATGATAATTGAAAGTTGTTGTTGCTGTTGTTGTTTTTTTGTTATCTGAAATTTTGTTAATATTTTTTTCTTTTCTTTTTTTTTTGAAGGACATATGACTTTCAGTCAGGGTTTTTCTTTGTTTTTTTTTTCCAAAAATACTACTTAGCAGTTGATTACAAGTATTATATGTATTATGAATTCTATTTGTTTAACTAAAAAGATGTATTTGTTATGTAAACAGTTTTCATTTTCATTTTATTTAATGCATTCACTGAATGATAGATAAATTTTTTATTTGTTTGTTTTAATTCAAGTAATGGATAAGTTTACTTATTCTTAATTTAGATAGAAGGCTATGGGTTTATGTATTCGTGTATTAAAAAATAATTTAATTATCATTTAAGTAAACGTTCAGTGTTCATGCGCGAAAGTGAAAAGTCCTAGGTTCGAATTTTGCGGCAGGCAGGATCGTGGATGCTCACTACTGAAAAGTCCTATACTAGGATGAAACGGCCATCCAGTGCTTCGACGTTTTCCATGGTGGTCTAGCTCCAATTGACTCATGAATTCAATTGTTAAATAAAATACATGTGTAGATTATTCAATGTAAAATAAAAACTCCGAAAGTTCTGTTGCATACATAAACACCATTCTAAATGAGAATAAATTTCCAACCGTTAGATCTCATAGTAAGTACATTATTTCATAAACATTGACTTATTAATTCAGTGGTCTATATTATCAATTCTGTTATAAGACAAAATAAAACGATCATTTAATCTTTGTTACTGTTCAGTGATATTTGGGCTAACAGCAATCGTTGTTACAAACCTATTTTAATTATTAATAGAAAATTCAAGTCTGTTATTGACTATTATTATCCTTAATTGACCGTTTTTTGTAGTAATTCATTAGTAAAGTTCAACTCGATAAGATCATCAGTTGATCAAATGACATTGAAAATTTCCAAAATAGTACATCACTCTGAGATGGTGGGGAAGATTTGTAGCTCAGGTGGATGATTTTGATGGAATTTTCTCTCCGGCTCCAAGGACAAAACTACATCAGTACATCACTTTATTTTTTCTAGTTTCCACAAACAAAGTAATTAAGTATGTTTACAAAAGCAAATTATCCTATTCAACTTCTTCATTTAGTTGTCTCAAGCAGAGTAAAAAATGGAATGTAATAATTTAATTAATTGGGTGAAAGTATTTGAAGGAATTGTTATACCATATTTTCTTGTTAGTACACTATTCAACAAAATCTGTAGAATCAAACTACAGTTTACTATAATGTCTAAAAAGTTTCCAATTTTGATCTTCGATAGATAACAATTAGAGACCAGAAAGTGCTAAATAGTTGTTCAGACCTTCCATTAAGATTCTCAACTGTGTTTACCCACGATCTCTATACTAATATAAAATATTTGTATAGCTCCTCTTAACTCCGACCGGAGTCCCTCCGGGGGCTACTGCCTGTCCCACGCCCGGATAAAGGAGGAGGGTTGTGCATGGGGTTAGTGACCCCATTCCATAGAAAACTAACACGCTAAAAAACGCTAACTAGAAATAGCTCCCCTTGGTGTTCAGTGACTGTTCAAGATCAGTTAGTAAATTCATTTACAAAACTCTACATTCTTCGAAATCCACATTTATCAATGTCTATTCTTTTTATTAGATCATTTCAAAAATAGCAAAATAGTTTTCTTTACGAGTGAAAATTTCTTCAACTAAAAAATATTATTTTAGTAAGTTTGATAGTATGAGTTTTTAAACAACGCGACTACACAATGATACGGTTATGAATCTTTTCTATAGGAAACATTTTAGAGTGCTCTTTATATTAAATGGATTATTGTTTAAAACGTAAAACGTTTTATAAAGTAATACTTCCACATATTTTACCGTTAGTTTTGTAATCATACGGCCGTACAGTTTTCTAAAGAATTTAGATAGCATTCACTTAATTTGATTTTGTCAAAGCGCAATTTAAATGATGGTGATTATTCACACACCTTTATGAATTTTCATATTATGGATGGGTATTCAATACCTCACCATCTCCACTGTGCATCATTTCGTTTCGCTTTGCTCTCTTCTATTCGTTCCCTTTTCTTCGTTTCCTTGATTGTTTGTCCAGATCAACGATTGTATGAAACATAAGTATTCGAAATCCATTCTTGTATTTAGCTTATTTGATTCCATTATTCACTAACGAAATTTGATCTGATAATTATATACAAGGGTAACTGGAATGTATATTTCAACAACAATCATTCATACTATCCAATTAGTGCCAGATATAAGGTCACAAAAATTCTATTTATTTTTACATATCCAGTTGGTTCAAGTTCATATTATTATCAATTGATCTATTTAGGTCATATTAATCCTTCAGTAATAATATAAGTTTGACATCAGCAATTGACTTTGTAATACAGTATTATATTGAAAAATTAAAGAAAACACTACAGTCATTATAAGTTTCCATTAGATCTTTTAAGTTTACAATAGAGATCCAGGAAATGAATGAAAGAATTTAAAAGAAATTCATTGTCATGTTTATACTGTTGATTTTTATAAACCGGAATCTATTTTTGGTATTTGAAAAGTAGAAATCAGCATTTCATTATATCTATATATGTAACTTTTAAAGTAGTTCTTGATTGAATTTAATTGATACCGGAATCAATGAAGGTCGTTTATGTAAACGACGTATAACATTTTATTGTATGTCTTAAGTACAATATTATTATTAATAGGATTTTTAATTTTAGCTTAATTATTTATCATACTATATATAACAACATATTCAATGTAACTGGTCAACATATTTTGTATGACCTGATGGTAATAACCATGATAAATACATAATTCATGATAATACATTACAGAGGAATTTATAGCGACTCACGTGCAAATCGGTTTATTCTCATTTAACTCAGTTAAGCCCCTTTTGCTAACTTATTTAGCGGACAAAGTCATCCGCACTATAACAATTTATTGTACCCTTATTATTATTTTGTGCTTGTATGAAATACGCATACTTGAATATTGCTTACGGCCTACGCATTTGTTCACTCTGCTAGTCTCACTACTAACCACTTATTTGATTCGATTACTCATTAATTTAACATGCTATATATATGTCCACGTTATTCATATGGTTGACTCTGCTTTCTCGCTCGCTTGATTGTACTCGATTGCTTACATTCGCTCAGTCGCTCGCTTGCCTGTTTGCCGTTCGGCACAACTCTTAATGCTCGTTTAATGCATCTGTAATTTTGAACATCTGTGTGTGTGGTCTCGAAATAAACGTAATCAACGCTTCGTATTCGCCTTCTGAATAATATACCGTTGAGGTTAAATAGGACGGTTATCAAGACGAATTGTATACGAAGTTTAAGGGATATATCGAATACCGACCACCACAAACTAATACTGTAGACATTGAATGGGAACACGAAATCTGTTAAGATGATTATATTACAATGCTTGATGGTTAAATTTTAATATTTCTAATCTGAGATATCTGGTTGAACTGACCTAATATCTTTAGATTAACCTATTAAACAATATAAAATTGACTAGTGGATGAATAAAAAGTTCTTTTGACATTGGTTAATGAATTAGCGATCTTAAGTTGTGTTAACTGACATTACACAGTTTTACAGTTTTACACACAAAAAGACTCAGTATGAGCAAATGTATTACTTGCTATATATTATGTTGAAAATTGAAGTTATTCTACACTACATAGGAGTAACTCACATACATAATAAGTTAATCTCATGGATAGTAGATAGAAATAATCAAAGTGAACTTTGACAAAACCAAAACAATTATTAGATGACTTCATCAATGATCTCTTGAGTAGACTGAATATTTTCTAATGTCATTACATGAATTATTTGGGAAACATTATAAAACGTATAGTTCATAAATATTCGTCTGAAAGAATTTGGATGAATAGACAATAGCTGATATATAAGATATTCATGTTATAACCAAAAATATATAATAGTTAGTTTAACATATTAAGTTAGTTTACCTGTCTATATGTATCTTCTATGGTTGGAATATATGTCTCACGGAATGTTCCACGTACAAATCGAAGTACAAGTGACGTTTTACCAACTCCTCCTGAACCATATACAGCTACACGATAATCTGTTGGCTGTTCTGGCATTGTTCACGAGTTCTTCTATTACAAAAAATATATATAGAATAAGTGAAACACATTTCCGTTCATTTTTCTCCTAAAAATACATTAATTATAATTAATACATAATGTTTATTTAGATTTTGATGACTTACTAACTTCACCATACTTTGAATAGAGAAAAGTTTACCTGTTGTTGTGTCGGTTACTATGTTAGGCCCACATAACTTATTCTAGCTTCTGGACTGGCTACATTTTGACCTTCTTAATTGTTCACTTATCAACCCTGACTATTTTTATATGAGCACATATGTGTGTACATCTTATCCTATTCAGTACATGTTTGTGACGTATTTTTGTATGACTATAAATATTGATTAACGCTTGACTAAATGGAGTTGACTCACATGCTTTCTCGACTGTCCGTCCTTTTGTTACGCTTTAACCTCTCCTCTTCGCTTCATTTGCTGCGATTATCTGATTGTCTGTTCCGATCAACGAGTGCACAAAATATAGATATTCAAAGCATCCATTCACATATTTGACTTATTTAATTCCGTTATTCATTATAACTCGATCTAAGTCAATAATTATATACGAGGATAATCAGAATGTATATTTCAATTCATCTTAAGTCAGATCTCGGGTCACTTAAGTTCTGAGTCTATCGAATACATCGTCTGACCTAACTGACGTTAAAATGAAGGGACCAACTAAACTGTGTAAAGTTGATTAATAACAAATTTTATTACATGTAAAACATACCGATTAATGCTAAAGTTTTGGGAAAATGTAAACATTAGAAAAACACATCAGTTGATCTATAGTTTTAAACCTAATATACATGGCAATGAAAAACAATCTCGTCATTTTAAAATATCAAAAAAGAAACTTGACAAAATTCCACTTGACTACTAAACAGAAACATTTCATTATTAAATTGTAATTATCTAAGTTCTTCCCTTGAAATTAAAATCACAGATTATTTTGACAATGAAACATTTTATATTTATTTATAAAGAATGACAACATTTAAATATTTAAAAGAATACTCTCACAATTCTAAACATTTCAACGTGTAACCATGTCATTTGTTACTTATTTCAGGACAAAGCAAGTACTGTAACCCATCTTTAAGAGTTATCATCATTACACAGTGCTGAGGAGTCCTATACTAGGATAAAACGGCTGTCTAGTGCTTCTAGGTTTTCCATGGTGGTCTAGCTTCAATCGACTCATGCATTCAACTCTTAAATTACTGAAATCTCCACACACACACCCACTCATATTATAAAGTATAGTTTCCAAACATTTGATTTATAATACAGTGTGTTGTTCATCTGTATGTTTTATTAAATATCAACTTAAACAGAAATAAATTACACAATGAATACTATTATAGACATTCAACTAATTTTTTCCACAATTCTCAAATATTCCAACATCTTAAGTAAGATCATCTTACAGTTAGCGATTATATGTAATCATTATTCTACCCGCACTCATATAAGGTTTACAAATATACATATTTATAAATGTCACCTGAAATGTACATTATCACATATTGGAAATGAAATTGATGAAACTACTGATGACTGAAATCCATCGTCAATTGACCTAGATGGCGAAAATGCAACAAGACTCTAAAATTTTCGGTTTGATCTCATTTAAAGTTATAACTGCATATCCTGTTAGGATACCTAAATGAAATGATAATCTAATGCTTTGTCATTTGAAGTAATTTTTTGTCAATGTTTAAAATTATTCTCATATTGAGAAAATTCACTTTTAAATGGATTCGCAACTCAAACAATATGATCATTTTGAAATGGTATACTAGATGTAATATGTTGATTAATCACTATCACATTTAAACATGAAATTACTTAGTTTAGTTAAAAGATGAATAATGTCACTATTGATACTGATTATTATATGACTTCATTTATTTATGATAGTAAAATTGATAACAGTATAGAAACTTTGCTGAAAACGAAGGATGAAACTTTGTTTTAAAATAAATACATAAATGATAAGTCTTGTCGATTGAACGCTACTTGTTATAACTAGTCGTCGCTGATTGTTATATTGGAATCGCTTATCAATTATACTTGAAACGAGAGACCTCTGCAATTCGCACGACGTGAAAGTAAGAACACAAAAAATACTGGTATAAGTGAAGATTTATTAATCTGAAACATGACGACGATGACGACACTAGTCGAAAATACACTCATTTATATATTGATTTGTACACACATTTTGATTATTAATTAGAATTAAATCACATATATGAAAAATACAGTTATAACAAGTCATATGCTAAGCATAGTTCATGTCAATTCAGTACAAGAATATTGTATATTATACAGAATATATCATACGGCGAAACAAAAACCAATAGTACATTGAATTAAAATGGAAGTAATGCTGACTTTTCTTCCCGTCGTATCGATAGAGAAACCAGAATACGTCATTTCTACTTGAAGTTTACGCTGATGATTTTGTTCATCAGAACAGTGATGGCTTTATGATTAAACCATTCAGTTCAGAGAACAAACCTCTACCGATATATGTATAAAACCGCTATCCGTTAAGTGTTATTAACAGAAGTCGATCTATTCCAGAAGCCAAATAAAAATGATTTGAACAACCGCCAATCATTGAATTCAATAAAAATAAACAATATATCTAAGTTAATGATATCTTTACTTCATCATTACTCAAAACATATTCTAGTTAATGAATTGTAATATTCCCTTTTCTATGTGAACTATGCAAATAAAACGCTTTTCAATTATTGCTACTTTTTTTTACAAGAAACGAAAACCAATATTGAAATGAGTCAGTCATTTCGAATTATTCTCACTTTACCCTTTTATCCTTCTTAAGTATAGTGTTATATTTTAATTGTTTTGTTCAATTTCGTATACAGACAATGATCTTCTAAATTTAATCAAATTTTAGTGAAAGTTCAAACATTCAGTTTACTAGGTTAATGGCTCTTGTTTTATTTATCAAAAGTATTTAAGATTCATTAGTTATCTCATTCTATAACATTTTTGATATGAGGGTGAATAAAACACTTGCACGAAACGGAAACTTTGTATTACAATGATCTAAATTGACATGTTTGCTTGCCATTGAATTTTTATCTAACTGATCACGATATTGTGAGATTCCTGGAATTTACAAAACAAAATCTGTTAATGTTAGACTTTTGAGAGAAATTAAAAGAAAGACATGTACCTATATTTTGTACCGGTCGATGTTTTGATATTTGAATACATTAATGAGTTTCCATAGAATAAATCTTATGCCTCTCAATGTTAATGCAGTGAACAATCAGACTTTGATGAATTTTATTTGGAAACCAATTGTTGAAAATAAAGCGTTATTGGTTATTATTCAATATTATGAGGTTTAGATTTTGACACTAACTTAACTTTAGTGTAAGCGACTCAACCTGAATAGGTTGTTACAAATATCTCAATTATTTATTAAGCTTATGGTCAGTCGAATAGCTCAG